ATTGCAACACGCACTCCCAGCCATGAGGTGCTGCCTTGCAACAGGCCCAAAATCAATGGGCTAGTAACCATGGACTAAACCCTCCGAAACTGTGAGTCAAAATAAATATTTCCTCCTTTAAGTTGATTTTCTCAGGTACTTTGTCACAGTGACAGAAAATTGATTAATTCTTTATATCTTATCACTGCATCAAAAAGCATCAGCAGTTGTGAAAAAAAACCCATGGTAACAGAGCTCAGAAACTAACCAAATGTTTCTAGTATAGACCCAAAATCCAATACGCTAAAGATGTAAACTATTAAACATCTCCCCATTGCCACTTTTCCCTGCAATCTCTAGAAAGATGTTTCCTTGAACTGAAATTCTGAAATGTCCTCAGCTGAAAAAACTATACTATTTAGCCTATTCTTGTGTGTTTAGCCATAGCTATATTCCAGCTTCCATTGTCAGAGGCCTTATTCTTTCTCTACCATTTATGAATGTATCCTTACAAATTATTCTGTGAGTCACAGCCATGAGACACTGACCAGAAGGTCTACTTGAGAGAAACTAGTATGGTCATACAGCTCAAAGGCCACAGCTCTCCCTCGGCCAACTCTAAGGGTGTCACAAATAGCAAAAGGAAGTCTTCTGTGAATTTGAATTCATCTGTTGATGTATGGGAGGTTTGAGAGGGTTGTGTGGGGCTAATCTTCAGGGTAGGGGCAAAGAGAAGGAGGGTAGAAGAAGGGGGAATATGCCAAGGAAAAGGTTCAGTGAAAAGGTATTTGTCAGTATTTCAGCTTGCTGTGTTCTTTCACGTTCCCAAGATTTTGGTTCTTTTTCTTAAATTCAGAGTTATGACTGGGATTTGAGTTTCATCGTGTCTCACAGATTTTGATATATATAGCATTTCCTGTTTGTTATTTTCTACCTATCCCTTCATGTCTTATTTCCTTCTTAATCCAATAATTATTTAGGAAAGAATTCACTGATTTCCAAGTGTGTAGGATCTTTACATGTTTTATTAATAATTTGTATTTTTTTTTCTGGTATCAGGGATTGTACTCAGGACCTTGAGCTTGCAACACAGGTGGTGGCACCACTGAGCTAAATCCCCGGCCCCTAATAATTTGGATTATATTGAAATGAGGTGTACAATTTCTGTTAACTGACGAATTGCCATGCCACAGAAATCTAAAACAAGGATGAATTTGCGATTCAGTGCCACTCACAGAGGAGGTCCATCCCCTAAATTTCAGATGTCAAATTCAGTATAACGTACTCCATCCTATCATATTAAGTGTATTTCTCAGCTTTCCTAGCCCTGCATTTTTGTTACTGTCCCTGTCTGTGGACAACCACCCCAGGAGCGTTCCTGTTTCTCTAGAAGTTACATTTCCCTTTCCCTCATTCGGCCTCTCCCTGTCCAGCTCCTCAGAGTGAGCAAGGCTTAAGGGGCTGCAGATGGGCCAAGAAAACTTGGTGAGCTAAACAATTCTATTTATTTTGCCACGTACTCTACCTCAAGCCTCAGCCTTCACATCATAAAGACTTGTGAATTTATTATTCAGACTACAACTGGCATTCCCTAGGAATTAAAATTAAACTTCCATTGCTGTCTTATGTGTCCTTTACTCAGAATTCTGATGACATATCACTTATGAAATATTAATGAGAGGTGCTGGTTTTTAATCTGGAAAGATTCTTCTGCTACATTTATTGAACTGTTCTATACAATTTAAAAGCTCTGTGACAAGAACAGAAGCAAAAGTTGATTTGTTCTGGTACTTGTTCTTTTGTAGCCAAATCTCATCTTCCATGGACAACGTGTGTGTTTTTAAAGGTAGGAACTTTAGTTGAGAGAGATATACAGATCCAAGAAATAGCGTGTAAATGCAGGCTTCTTATTTCAAAAAGGAAAAGAAAGATATGCAACACTGGCTCTGGACAATACCAAATATATTATCTTTTGTAGTCAAATTTTATCCTCAAATGAACACCAATGGCACTCTTTTACTGAGGAAAAGTGATTCTTCCAAAACCACATAATGTATTAAAGATATACATGAGGCAATAGTGCACATCTTAATCTTTATCTAAAGGACATGTTAGCATGGCAACAAAACATCTCAGACTACGTGACAAGATGATCTAGGAGTCTTAGGAGTACCTCTCTTACTCCTTGAAAGAACGCCCCTTATTCTTTTGTGTCTCTCTAGAATTCCCTCTGTTCTTCATTTTTTTCAAAAACTGTAGGTAGTCTGCCTTCTCTCATAAATGGAGTTAGTAAATGACAAAGTGATTTAAACCATCAAAATGTCTAAACCATTATAGTATTTAAAACGCCACCATCTCTTTTTCCTTCAACATTTCCTTTTAAAAGTACAGCTTTTAAATATGAAACCCCTATTTTGGGGACTAATACAGCAAGTCATATTAATATCATTTAAATTTGGTTCTTGCATCACTTTCTTCCACAACCATATTTGAAGAGCATCAAGAGAAGTAGATACATATTTTAAATGCATTTAGTGCAGTTTTCCCCATGGACAGAGATGATTTAATGAGAAGAACTTTGATCTAAATCAATATATTTATTTAAAATCTTATATAGGCATACTGAAGTCCTGTTGTGACAATATCGAGACTTAGACCATTGTGGGGTTCCATTTTCTGCCTTGTAAAATGAAGGATCTAGATTAGGTACTCTTTTGTTATACCTAAAGCCCATGCTGATGCTTAAATTCTATAAATTGACTGGTTTTATTCCATTAGGTCAGTCAAAGATATTCTAGAAAACCATAATCAACTATTCAAATCACTCTACATGACCAGTCCTTCTGAATAAGAATTCTTTATTTTTTCCATAAACAATCCAAAGTTTGTCAGAACTCTGTGGGTAGGTGTGAACATCAGAATATAAGTAGCTCTTGGGCAACCATCAAAGAACCTCTTTGGCTGCCTGAACTGCCAAGTTCAAGGTGAGAGTTGAGAATTCAGGCTAGGACAACCTTGTATTTGTATGATGTTTTTCATTTTCAAGCTTCTCTTGTCATTCATTTCCCAATTTTACCCCATAAAGGTAAGAAGACTAGATAGGACATCTTACTGAAGTAGGAACTGAAGGATCCAGATAAAGAATTGTCCAAGTTTCTATAAACATCTAATGATAGAACTAAAGTAAGAATTTAAATGCATTAACTCCAATTCCATTCTGCCTACAAAACATTCTGCCCTTCTAGTTTACAAAATTTAATCACTGAAGGCCAGTGTTATGATCTTTTTTCCCCAATAACTTTTCAGAACAACACAGAGGAGTTCTTGTAATGCCTCATTGGAATTCTATGAGTGTTCTGCAAAGCCGGAGAGAAGCCACCGTTCCATAGGCTTTGACAGCTCCTCGGAGCCATTAGGACCAATAGAAAGGTACCCAGAGTTCCACGATTATTAGAATTTCTCACCTATCAGAGAAAACCATTGTGTCTGGTTGCATATTTAGACCTGTGAGCAGAGAGCCAGGCATGGAACTGGGAAATTCTCGAGAACTTCCTCCCTAGGGAAGACACCTTCTAGAGTCAAAATTGCACTACTGCATTTCTGTTGTTATCAGAGACTGGCACAACTAGAACTCCTAAATTCAAATTCCTGCCTCACCGTTTGTCAGACATGTAACAGTAGGCAAATAACTCGATACTCTGGGCTCCAGTTTCCTGAGGTTAAAATGGAAATAATAACAGCCATTGCAAAGACGCAGTAAGGTAACTTCCGGAAAGCATTCACTACACTTGGCAAGTAAGAAGCAGATAATAGTCTTTATTTACTTAACTTATTCTATTCTAAAGTCTTAGAATGTTGCCTGGTGCCTAGTAAGCACTCTCTATTGTGAACTATTTTTACTGTCCTCTGAGTAAAAACTGGTATTGAAAATTTAAGTTTTATTAACATAAAAATATTGAAAATTGCTCCATAGTGTAAAATTTTAAAGTACTTTATGACAGACTTTACAAAACCTAAACTGAATGAATATACTCATTTACCTCACAACCTGAAATAAATAACAATTCAAGATTTAAAAATATACCTTGCTGTGGTGCTATGGTTAGTATATTTCTTCAACAATGTCTAGATCTTAAGCTAAAGTTCTGTTTCTTCTAAGTGTAGGAAAGAGGTCTGTAGGTTATATAGATTTTTCCTGGCAAAATAAAGTGGCTTAACTCACACCAGCAAACAAAATTGGAAATTCTTTTCTGAGTTTATATAAAATGTAGCCCAAAAATGTGTTTTGTATCTCTTGCTCCCCACTTTAAGTTGTGGCTTGGTCAATAATTAAGCAAAAGAAATATCAGGCCCAACAAAAAAACACTGTCTAATTTAGTTAGATATTTTCTTGTTACAACCATTGCACACACTGAAGTCTACAGCATCACAAAGGAAAGTGTGCAGGACTAATGAAGGAAAAAAGCCAAACCTCTAAAATAAGTTATTCAATGATTTTAATGCAATTCTCTCTGTGCAGCTAATTAGCTGGGTCACCTGGAGATAGCCCTTCACTTCTCTAGGTTGAGAACCCTCCCTCACATATAAGATTATCTTAGATAATCTAAAATCTTAATCCTATTAGTAAACCTTATTAGCTTTACTTTTGTGCATGTACTTTCGTGATTAAAGCTCATTTTAATAGTCTGTAATATACTGTAGCACTGTAATGAGTTTCTAGTCTCAGCTCTCCTTTGTTCCATGCTGATGCCCTTACTACTATCCTGCTTCACCACCTGTTCTCTAGAACAGTTGTTCTTAAACTGCAGCCTGCATCAGAATCACTTGGTGCCCTCCCACCCCAGAGCTGCTGATTGGGCAGGTCTGGAATAGGGCATAAAATGGCATTTTGAACACGATCTCTAGTGATCTGGATGCTGTGAGCCTGATGACCCTTTGAAGACCTTTATTCAACCTACAGGACATAAAAAAGTTGATGAACATCATCTAAGGGCAACTAAGAACTGAGTAGCAAAAGTTACCTCAATGTAACTGTGGGAGCAACCACGCTGGCCTTCCAGTTCCACATGGGTGAAGGTGAGGTCTATTAGCTCTCCCTGTGGCTGCTGTATGATGTAGACACATTGCCTGTTGTGAGCCAGAGGCTCAGGCAAGCTGGGAAGGAAGAGCTCACCCTCTGGGTCTGTGTAGTTCCCTCCACAATGCAGATCCGCTACAGGCAACGGGAGGTAAAGAAAAGGAAAGTTCCTGTGACTCGGCTTCTGAAGTTTGCGCTCACACACACACACACACACACACACACACACACACATAATCATAACCCACTCTATTAACCTACTAATAGAGGGTTATGCCTCTATTATAAGATTTCCCATTTGATATATTTGCACTCAGTCCCTGGAGTACCTAAAGTAATAGAGATGTGTGATCAGACTTGAACGCAACATTCTATTCTATAAATTGCTTTTAAAATACATTAATGCTCTGCCTCATTTGAAAAAGATTTAAGGCATTTTCGGAAATAATGTAAAAAAATAAAATATAGAATTACATATGTGAAGCAGATTAAAGAAAAAATGAATACAGGAGAGCAATGTGTGGCCAAAGTAAGGTTGCTAAGTACAAACAATAGTTGTAAGGGCCACGGGAATTAGAGGAGGTTGGTTGGCTGCAGATCCAGCTTGATGTCAAAGTAAAAGGACAAGGGACCAATGAAGATGTGCATTATTGCTTTCCCTGATTCTGAGCCTTAACAGATATTTCTCCTATGAATTCTTGTTATGAACACAATCATAGATGTGATGAATAAAATTCTTTCCATACCTAAAATGAAAATTACAGAATATTTCATGTGTTTTGTTCTTGTTTTAAGATATCGATGCAAGTTGAAGAAATGACTGACAGTGAAACTCTATGGGCCAGGACACTGCTGTCCTAGAAGCCAGCTCCTGTGTGGCTGGACTTGATCCAAACACAAAATCAGACACATCTCTAGATAGATGCATTGCTCATGTGAATAACCTATCACACAACAAACATCAAACACCGAGGTTCTGAATTATTTAATTTTAAGTGTCTCGTACATTTCCACCAAGATGTGGATCCCATAATTAGGAAGCAAAGGGTATTGGAGTATTAACAATAAAACACTGGGAAGACAAAGATTCTGAAGCTGTGAGAGAAATATTTGCAAAGGCACGTTATTGGGCTAAGAGACTCATCTTCAGCATCACTTAAAATACAAACAGTTATAGGCACAGCACACTCCTTCAACTGCATATTAAGCTACCAACTGGCAAGTTACTTACAGGGTGATGTTAGATAGGTGATATGGAAGCCGCGATCACTGATCTGATTGTCAGAATGGAAATGAATTCTGGCAAAGGGACCTGTAGTCTGGAGTGGTGGGACGGAGCTGGTGGTGCAGAATCTTCCAAGAATGGGGTCCTGGTGGAAAGGACCGTCTCGAATCTAAATCAAAAGAGTGACTGATCAGTGTCAAAGAGGTCAGGTTTCCACAAAGCAGGTCACTGTATACATTAACTTCAGAAAAGTCTATCATTTACAAATGATGGCTCTGGGGAGTTTCCTATAATAGGTATAGTTAGTGCACACTTGGGGTTCAGGAAAGGGTGTGGCTTCCCATCACTCCAAGTGCCTTATCTTCTGTCTGAATTTCAATTCTGAGACCGAATGTGTATTTTGGATTTGGCCTCATTATGTTACTAATCTGAGTGTTTTCGTTCATTGGTTCCCCTTACCCCAGATATTTGTTTTAAAATGATAGACTCCTAATGATCTAGAAAACAAAAATGAATATATGAAAAGAAAATGGAAGAAGGAATACTACTGATGTCAACTGGCTACAATATGGTTTAGGTATTTAGAAGAGTTGCAGGTGGGAGGGAAGTGCTGTCTCATTAGATACAACATAAGTGATGGTTTGATGAATTTAATGAATTTAAAACTACAGCTTAGTAACTCTGAAGTACCACATTGGTGATAATGTGAAACTAAAAACTTTTTAGTTATTGGTCTTTAATACATTAAATAATCATGTAGACCTCTCTATAATTTGGTTCTAATTTCAAAATCTGTATCACATAGAACACTAAGAAGTCAATGAGCTAAATATTTTAATACAGTCAATTTCATCCACTCAACTTACTTTTTCCCTTGAGTAAACTTCTACGACAACATTACTTTATTTTTATATTTAACTAGTTGCTTGAACTATTGTAGCTATTTAAACATTTAAATATTGTCACAATGACAATATTTAAACATTGCCAGAATAATTGATACCTTCTATTATAAAGCATACAGAAATTCATATATAGCAATAAAATGCCTCTAATTTTAATTTAATAGAATTTACTGAATATTAATTTCAAAGTAACTCATTTTTTACTGCCAACATTTAAAATGTTCTTTTTCTAAATTTTTCCAAGGAGAGGAAGATCTTCCAGACATTCCCAAAGGTTTCAAATCCATTATTACAACTGTTAAATTACTAATGACTTCAACTTGTGGAGACTCTGTTTGACAGCTGCATCCTTCTATCCTTTATTAATAATTCCACAGCACTCCTGTCTTCTCTAATGGATTTGGAAAAGCTCATTGTCTTTTTATCATTACTGCAAGGGGCTCTGAGATTTATGGTGATAAAAAATACAGGAATGACCTAAGAACTCAATCTCTTCAATGATCTTTTCAGTTAAGGAATGGAGAGCAGCATTTTTATGTTCCTATGTGCAGGTAGTATTTGAACATAAGTACCCATTTTCCTCTTCTGTATTTTAATCTTTTATGAGTGGAAGAGAACAGTAGTTCAAGTTGACTCCTCTCCTCGCAATGATAATTTTCAATATTTTCCATGGATTCATCACTTATCAACTCATTTCAACACAATCACTATTAGCTTATTTTTCTCCATGGAGCACTATGGTCAAGTTGTGAAACACCCTCCTGGTTTACCAAAGACAACTGAAGATTGCTCTGCATTGGAGATGAACCATCACTTGGTGTTTAATCATGAATTCTGCTATTCCCTCTCAGAGCTTCCAGGAAAGACAAGGGAAGGTAAAGCAGTTGGTTTCCCAGATTCAAGTGGAATGCAAAAGAAGCAGCAACAAGCTGGGATAAGTGAAAATAGAGGCTTAGCAAGATTTATGTTTGATGTCTATTGAGAAACATTATCTAACTGCTGCTAGTAGACTGGAGTTATCCATGGGCATCACCAAACTATAGTGCCATGAGTCATAATCACATCATGATACCTTCTATCTCAATATAATTATTTACCTCCAGATAATCTTTGCTACAGTCTTCATGGTTCTCCAGGCTCAAAGTCCCAAAAGTAAATGTTATCAGAAGTTCAGGGCTGGTAATAATGCTCCAGACACAATCTCTTCCAGGGGGGTAGTTTCCAGGATACCCCGGAGATTGGATAGAGCCATAAGTAGCAGCCAGTCTACCTCCACACTCTAAAATAACATGGAAAAACAACTTTACATTTGTATTCAAGATATAATTTATGTAGAATTGACATAGTTCCTGCAGGAAGCAAAACTTGCATAAATAACTGTGAGCTGTTTTAGATACCCTCATAAATTGAATAAGCCTTTCAGCTTTCCAGTTTCATAAAGTTATAAATCTGGACCTATCAATTGATAGTCGCTCATGTGTGAGCATTATGCTTATAGGCCATCACCCAAAGAGATACAATTGAAAATACATTGCTGAGCCATGTGAGGGATGAATAATGGAAACATAGATTGATTTTTCTTCACTCTGAGGAGATTAATTTCTGTATATCAACTCAAAGTTTTAGAACTTTGGTCAATCCCGATGTCATTCAACAAACCATATCATTTTATATTTTAAAATAGTTAAGCAGCCCATAATTTTCATTTGAGAAAGTTCTTTATCAGTATCTCTAGTTAAACCACTCAGTTTATAAATGAAGCCATTCAAAGGTTAGTGGTGGTTAAGCCAGGAACAGAACACCTGGGGACGGCGCTAGGCTTTCTGGCCCTGACCCTGTCACCACCCTGTTACATCACACCCATCCTTCACTGGCTGGTCCATGCCAGGAAGACTCCCATCTTCATGAATACCCATCTTTATCTGACAAAGAGTCTGTGCTGGCATCTAAGAAATGCTACTGTAAAATTTTAAAACATAGAGATACAAAACAATCCTGACTGTAATAAATAAACATTAGAAAAAATAAAATAAGGTGACATGATGTTAGATTTCTATAACTATACAGATTATTCAGATAAAAATTTTGCTCTCAATGCAGAAAATGAAACAAATTCATGACATTGTTATTATTCTTAAGAAAAATCTCAGTTCATCAGACAAACATACATTTCTCAAAACTTGACACTTAAAAGCTATAATGTGGGTAAAATTTTCAGATGTATAAAATACTGTAAGTAAAATATTAATGATACAATGGGAAAAAATGCAATCTATAACAAAAATGTAGTAGCCTAATAGAGTTTCTGAAAAGAATAGAAATGTAAAGAGAGAATACATTGAAAATAATAAGATGTCCCTTGTAAATATGAAAAAATTTATCTGAAAAAATATAAACTTCACTAAGATACCATTTCTTACCTCTCAAAATGATAAAAATTGGGATTTCTAAAAATAAATTATTCATGAAACTGTAAAGAAATCAACACTTTTTTGCACTGCTAATGAGAAGCAATAAGATATAATCACCAAAGGAGAGAATATGCCAATATCCAACAAACCATTATGAATTTTTTTTGCTAATTCCACCTTTAGAAATATATCTCAAAGGCACATTGGCAAAAATACAATAAAACAAATGCACAAGATACTTCATTGCAGTAAAATTTAGAATTCCAAAAGACAAGAAATAAGTTAAATGCCCATCAACAGAGTGCTGTTGAATATCCCATGAGACATCTACATAATGCAGTTATGTTCTAGTTATGGCATAAGATCCAGGATATATCAATTAAAAATGCAAACTGTACACCAATGTATATGGTATTCTAGCTCTTATCTACAAAAGGAAAATATGATTGTATGCAATTATTTGTTTAACTTTTTAAATAAAAAGATAAACCAAAAACTGAGCTATACCTCTCAAAAGTTATTATGCATATTGACTTGACTTTGGCATTATGAATGAATATATTTTACATAATTATGAATCCAAATTTAATAAAAATGAAAAGAAATCTCTAAAATTATAAGCAAAGCAAAACCAATGAAGTAACTTCATTGAACTGACAAGTATGAAGAATAGGAACATGAGACTTTAAAGCACTGTAATTTTGCTATATGACTAAGCAAAATGTATCTTAAGCATAAAAGAACAGCAATGAAATATTAAATGGTTTCCAATTAGCCTAGTATTAGTAATAATATTGGTATTGTTGTGCACATTTGTAGGATTAAATATATAGGTGATATATTAATGTCGATGGGAACCAGGACTTTTACTGTATGACACCAGGGATCAAATATAAAGTAAAAACAAGCTCCATAAACTCAGTATTATAATATATGTTAAATCACTGTGAATACATGGGATTTCTCCCCTTAAAAAATAAGAAAAGTATTTTCTACTTCTGATAATGAAAGGTCTAGACATTGGCAGACCTAGTGACAACAGCCATCCCTACCATCCAAACTGTGGGATCTGAATATCATTTTACTGGAAAGAGTAAGAGCTATTTAGAGAAACAGCTGGTTCAATTCCTGAGATAGTAATTGTAGGAAGGGCCTAGAACATCATCTCAAACTAGAAGGCTACTCCAGTTTGGGGCAAATGGCCACAAAAAATGAAATCACCTGGAAGAGATACCTACATTTGTACGTTCATTGCAGTGCTATCTACAATAGTCAAGATAAGGAGAATCAACCTAAGTTTCATCACTGCTCGATGAAAGAAAAAAAAATTATTCCACACACAATGGAATAATATTTGGCCTTTAGAAAAAGGAGGAAATCTTGTGATTTGTGACAACATAAATGAATCTGAAAGGTTTCTTTTTTCAGTGCAGGGGATTGAACCCAGGGCATTTGCACTAAGCTATAGACTACATACCCAACACGCCTTATTTTTCAGTTTGAGACAAGATCTTTCTAAATTGACCAGGCCAGTCTCAAACTTGCAATCCTCCTGCCTCCACTTCTTGAGTATCTGGGATTATAGGCATGTGCTACTGCACCCAGAGGAACCCGGATAGTATCATGGTAAGTGAAATAAGCCAGACACAGAAAGACCAAGAGTATATGATCTCACTTATATAAGAAATCTAAAAATATCAAACTCACAGAAGCAAAGAATGGAAGGGTGGTTGCCAGGGGCTAAGACACAGAGGACACCAGAATGTGTTGGTCAAAAGTATCACATTAAAATTTTGGAGACCTCATGCATAGCACAGCATGATAAGTATAGATAATATTGAATAATATACTTAAAAATTACTAAAAGAGTGGATTTTAAATGTTCTTACCACACACAGAGAAAAAATGGTTACTATGTAAGGTGACTAATATATCAATTAGCTTGATTTGGGTAATCACAATGTACACACGTAGCAGACTACACCGGACCACCAGACCACAGTACTGAGCCCCGCCATTCCCGGCCCAGAGGTAGGGGCTGCTGAGCCGCCGTCCCACTGCTCCTGTTCCAGAGGAAGGGGCTTCCCAGCCACCATCCCTACCGCTGTTACCAGCCCAGAGGAAAGGGCTTTTGGGCCACCTTCTGTCCCGCACCTCCTGGCCCAGAGGAAGGGGCTTCAGGGCCACCATCCCGCCCACTGCTCCCAGCCCAGAGGAAAGGCTTTTGGGCCACCATCTCTACAACTGCTCCCGGCCCCTGTCCCACCTCTCTCAGCTCAGAGGAGGTACTCCGTGCAGGCGCCAACAGCTCACAGCGCCCCCCGCAGTTGAAATGAGAAAAGACGTAAATAAGTCTCAAAAACAGACTTCCAGATCACCTACAGCAACCCCAAAGGGAAATGAGATGGAACACTCTGATACTCAACCACCTGGACTCACT